TAACAGTAAAGCAAACAACACCACTGGAGATCTGACTCTTTTATTAAGTATTACACAAAACAGCAATAGACTCTCAAGATATAAGGTTTAGGATTAGCTGATTAACACATTCAAATAGCTAATGTACTTATTATTTTTATTTTTAAAATGTCCTACATGGAGTAAATATGTCATTCCCACATCCCTTTGGACCTCAAATCGCAACATTAGAGCTGAATAGTGATGCACCTCCTCTCCCAGAGGACAAATATATTTGTAAATGGGCAAGTAGATGTAGAAATGAAGGACTGGATATATAGCCGCTAGCTGGAGGATAACAGGAGCATGTGGGTGAATGATCATGTGCATGGGAGCTAACTGTATATTGTAATAGATCAATATCTATTTGTGCAAATAAGAAGGATGTTCATATGAATACATGAGTGACTAAAGGAGCCTGTATGTAAGCAGACAAATACTCTTTTGGAATGGTTCCACTGGCAGAAAAATCAGCTCTTATACAGAATACGGCTCCTGTATTTAACATGTCTATAGGCATCCTATTTGGATATGCATCTCTCCAGGCCTTCCCATATTTTGATAGTTAAGGGCACTTTCCCCTTCTTGGATGCACACCTAAACATGGTGTGAAGGTGTTTGAGTGTGTCAGTGAAGCTGCATGGAATATTGTCAGGAGTCCAGACTCCTTTGCAAGGATGGACATCTAGTAGGGTTACTCAATGCAGTGGGGCCATCAGAGTAAGATGCCTACACCCTCTTCAAGGGTAACCACTGCATTAGCAGAAGAGAATAGGTAGTTCCAGTGGGAATGGGGATGGCAGCTGGTGGGTAGCAGTGTTAGCTAAAGGTGACACTGCAGCAGCAGTGACACCGAATTAACTTTTATTAGTACTGCATGGAAGGTAGCAATGCTGAACTTCCTTTACCATGAAAACCTATGAGACAGTTCAAAATTGAACAAGAGATAGTGCTGGAAGATGAGACTCCTAAGCAGCTGCTGGGGAAGAGCAAAAGACAATATCATTGTAGCCAATGACTTAGATCAGGCTTGTCCAACCCGCGACCCGAGGGCCGCATGAGGCCCAGGTCAGCTCGTAATGCAGCCCTGTGGAATTTTTTATTTTTAAAGAAATTCCAAAGTTTCAAGTTACACTGCCGGCACTTGCGGCCAGAATGTGGCCGGGACATGTCACAACAGTAGAGGGAGAGAGAAGAAAGGAAGGAAGGAGTGGGAGGGGAGGGGGCAGGGGGGCTGCGTGACTGCATTGCGCCATCCCCGTCAATAGGTGGACCCCCTCCCGGCCCCATAAAGCCGCCGGAGTCGAAGCTGGCAGCCTCTGATGTCTGCGATCACAACTGCCGGTAAGCGCGCTTGGAGCAGGGCTGCGGAGGCTGGCTAGGGCTGCCCCCCCCATGCGGCCCAAACCAAATGTATGTGCGGCCCAAACCAAATTTTCATCTTCTAATGTGGCCCAGGGAAGGTGGAAGGTTGGACACCCCTGACTTAGATTAACGCTGAAAGGATATCTAGCGGCTGGCATGCACATGCACAGAAGTGAAAGGAAAGTCCAATGCTGCACAACACACAGAAATGGAACATAACTAGTATGAAACAAGGTCAAGTGGAAACTGTAAAGCAAGAAATTGAGCATATAAAAATTGCAGTGTTTCATGTCAGTGAACTAAAATGAACTGGGATAAGATATTTTCAGTGAGACCCTTACAAAATGTTCTGTTCTGGAAATGACAAACTCAGAAGCAATGGAGTGGATCTATGGTAATACTGAGGCAGGATGTAGCCAGGCAGTACTATGCAAGGTCTGACCAAGTAATATCCATCAGACTTCTAGGAAAACCTATCAACATAACCATTGTTCAAGTTTATTCAAACTACAAATGCTGAAGAAGATGAAATTGAAAGCTTTTATGCAAGCATCCACAAGGAAACTGATCAAACACCAAAACAAGGCATGCTTATAATCAGAAGTGACTAGGACACAAAAATAGGAAATAAAGCAGAACCAAATATTGTTGGAAAATTTGGTGTAGGGGTCAAAACAAAGCAGGAGAATGACTTCTAGAGATTTGTGAAGCCAGCAATCTGAAAGTTGGAAATAATATGCTTCAAGAAACTAAAATGATAACTTGTACACATGGGCATCATCACAAGGCCACCATAGAAATGCAACAGACTTCATAATTGGAAGCAGGAGATGGAGAAGTGGTATCATCTCCACCAAAAACAAGGTGAGAACCAGACTGTGATATTATTAATGAACTCTTTATACCCAGCATTAGAGTAAAGCTGAGGAAGAGCACTGAAAAAATTCCTAATACCAAAATATGATTTTAAACAATATTTGTGGTGAATTTAAAGTTCCTATAAGGAACAATTTTGCATTATTAACTCAACTGACTATGACCCAGAAGAACTGTGGTTTGAAACCAGAGATATTATTGGGGAAGAATGCAGAAAGACAATGCCTGCAGTAAAAAGAAAAGAAAAACCTAGATGCATAGTGGAGGAAACAATTAAAATGTAAAGGTCAGGCAAGAAGCCAAAGTAAAAAGTGACAGAAATAATGTCAGAATCTTGAATAAAGTTTTTCAAAGAATGGTACATAGAGACAAACAGAACTATTACAATAACTAGTGCAAAGAAACTGAAGAAAACAACAAAAGGGGGGAAACAAGAAATCTATTCCAGAATATCCAAGAAATCAAAAGGAAATTTAAGCCTAGTTTAGGAATGTTGAAAGACCAACAAGGAAGCACACTATCTGGCCAGCATAAAATAAAGGGAAGGCAGAAACATATACTAAAGACCTATAATGTAGAGATAAAAGAAGGGCAGATTCCTTTGAAGAGAAATCGCATGATGAAGAACCTGATATTCTAGAAGGTAAACTGAAAGCTGCTCTGAAAGCACTTGGAAGAAATAAATCACCGGGGATATCATTAGAACTATTTCAAGCAACAGAGACTAAATCTGTCAACAAAATTATGCCCCTCTGCAAAAGAATTGGAAAACAAAACATTGGCATCCAGAGCGGCAACATTCAATATATATTCCAATTCCTAAGAAAGGAGATGCCAAGGAGTGCAGTAGCTATAGGACCATTGCTGTAATTTCCCAGGCAATCAAAGTGACAGTGAAGGTGTTGCAACAAACACTTTTACGTTATATGGAGCAAGAAATGCCTGATCTTGAAGCTGGATTCTGAAAAGGAACCGGCCCTTGAGATCATATTGCAGATATCCACTGGCACTTGGAGCACTCCAAAGATTTTCAGAAAAAGATAAGTCTATGCTTTGTAGACTACAACAAAGCCTTTCCCTATGTGGATTCTGAAAATCTGTGGGTTATTCTGAAAGGAATGGGTGTGCCTCAGCATTTGATTGTCTTCATACATAACCTGTATTATGGAAAGAAGCTACTGTTAGGACAGAATATGGAGATACAGAATTGTTTCCTCTAACAAAAATGTCAGATAAGGGTGATTTTATCTCCTTAGCTGTTCAGTCCGTAACATATGGAAAGCCAAACTAGATTCAGATGAAAGAGGAGTGAAAATTGGTGGAAGAAACATCAGTAGTTTAAGATATGCAGATGATGCCATCTTCCTGGCAGAAAGGAGCAATGACTTGAAATGACTTTTAGGGGAAAGGAAAGAAGAAAGTGCCAAAGTAGGACTGCAGTTGAACATGAAGAAAACAAGCATCATGACTACAGAAGAACTGCACAGTTTTAATGTTGACAATGAAAAAACTGAATTAGGGAAAGATTATGCATTTCTTGTTTCAATCTTCAAGCCAAATGGCAATTGCAGCCAAGAAATCAGAAGACTGAGATTTGGAAGGCCAGCAATGAAGGAATTAGAAAAGGGAATCAATTGTAAACATGTGTCACTGGAGATCAAGACAAAGACCATCTATGTTCTTTTATTTCCAGTCACAATGTACAAGTGTGAAAGCTGGACAGTAAAGAAAGCTGATAGGAAAAGCATCACTTTGAGATTTGAAAGGGCAGCAATGAAGGAATGAGAAATCAATTGAGAATGAGAATCAATTGTAAACATGTGTCATTGGAGAGCAAGACAAAGATCATCTATATTCTTTTATTTCCAGTCACAATGTACAAGTGTGAAAGCTGGACAGTAAAGAAAGCTGATAGGAAAAGCATCACTTTATTTGAAATATGGTGGGGGATGAGAGCTTTGTGGATTTCCTGGACTGCCAGAAAGGCAAACAGACAAAGATCATCTATATTCTTTTATTTCCAGTCACAATGTACAAGTGTGAAAGCTGGACAGTAAAGAAAGCTGATAGGAAAAGCATCTCTTTACTGTATTTGAAATATGGTGGGGGATGAGAGCTTTGTGGATTTCCTGGACTGCCAGAAAGGCAAACAAGTGAGGCCTAGATCAAATCAAGCCTGAAATATTTCTGGAGGCAAAAATGATCAAACTGAAGTTGTCCTACTTTGTGTTTGTCATAAGAAGAAAAGATTGTCTGGAAAAGATAATAATACTGGAAAAGGTTGAAGGCAGTAGGAAAAGAAGACAAAATATGAGATGGACTGACTCCCTGAAAGAAGCCATGGCCTTGAGTTTACAAGAGTTGAGCAGGGCTGTTGAGGACAGACATTCTGGAGATCGCTCATTCATAGGGTGGCCATAAATTGGAGGTGACTTAACAGTAAACAACAAGATACTTGGTGATAGCCCATGATTGCTGGCGGCTGCTAGCCATTATCTGTCCCCAACTGCTCATGAAAGCACTGAAGCAATGGATTGGTGTTGGACTGAAGTTAGCAAAGTGATAGAAGTATGTGTTCTGTCATGGTGGGACGTGTAGGAGGACTTAAGGACATACGCCTCACTCTAGGGGAAAACCCATGTCACTTTATAGGGTGGCATCATTTGGCTTTCCTGATCTCCCATTTCCACCTTCTATATTTGGAAACAGACAGAATAGAACAAATACATACTTATGTGTTCTGTCATGGTGGGACGTGTAGGAGGATTTAAGGACATATGCCTCACTGTAGGGGAAAACCGATGTCACTTTATAGGGTGGCATTATTTGGCTTGGTGCTTGGCTGATCTCCCATTTCCACCTTCTATATCTGGAAACAGACAGAATAGAACAAAAACATACAACAGTACTTCCAATACTCTCTCATTACAACTCCACCTCCCACTATTTAAAGGGCTGCTCTCACACTTGTACACCTCAAAGAAGGAGGGAGCGTGAAACAATACGTACGGAAAAAAAGTAAGGAGTTTGGGCAGGCGCATTGTTTCTTGCCCCTGTGGCAGTGTAAGAACCAGAAGAGCAGCCATAAAGCCTCTCCCCAAGCCCAGAAGGGGACATTTTTTGACCTCACTGTTTGCAGCAATCTCGCTCTCCCAGTTGTTAGGAATGGCCTGTCAAAGAGAGTTCCTTCTTTAATAGTCCTCCTCTTCATTCTGCTGGGGCCGCAGCACCACACTGTGATAGGCTTTGATGCAGGAAAAGGCCGTGGGAGGGATGCGGCGGCGGTCAATCAAGTTGTTCTCCAGGTGCATGGACACAATGTTTGAGTCCTCTGCCACCCGGGTGTCACAGACAGAGTTCAGGGGGACATGCCTGCCAGGAAGACAGAAGAAGGACATTGAGCTTTTTAAGATACGACTTGTGTAGCCTGAGAGCAAGGAATTTTATTTTAGAAGTCTTCGTAACAACTTTGTAGAGTAGGCCAGTAGCATTCTTAGGGTATCATTTTAGGAGATAAGAAATACACGCCTGTACAATAAAGGTAAAGGTTCCCCTTGACATTTAGTCCAGTCATGTCCCACTCTAGGGGGTGGTGCTCATCCCCATTTCCAAGCCATAGAACCAGCGTGAATAGACAAGGAACATCGTTACCTTCCCACCATGGTGGTGCCTATTTATCTACGTGCATTTTTACATGCTTTCGAACTGCTGGGTTGGCAGGAGCTGGGACAAGCGATGGGAGCTCACTCCGTCACGTGGATTTGATCTTATGACTGCTGGTCTTCTGACCTTGCAGCACAGAGGCTTCTGCAGTATAACCCGCAGTGCCACCACGTACAATATAGACCCAGGATGAAAAGCAAAGCACGTGCTCTACCACACAGCAATGGTCGTTCCTCATCCAGAGAGGATGAAAGAACACAGCTTGGAAAAATGATGTGTTTGGACTGCTAACTTGCAAGGCTTCCAAGCCAGCCTAGCCAATAACGAAGGTGCCGCTGCCACCACCCAAACATGTAATCCTGCCAAGTTCTGAAAGGGAACTCCTTTCACCTGATGCGGTTGTGGCTCAGACGCAGAACCTGTAGCCCCCTCAGGTTCAAGATGCCACGGGGTATGGACTGGAGCTGGTTGTTATCCAGGAGCAGTTCAGCCAGAGAGTGGTGGAGCCCCAGGAAGGAGACCGCATCGATTCCATCATCCCGCAACACATTGTGTGAGAGGTGCAGAAATTCCAGGCCCGGCTTCATGTGGGCAAAAACGTAGCCTGGGATGCGTTCTATGCGGTTGTGATGCAAGGTCAGCTGCTTCAAGTGTCGGGGCAGGAACGAGGGCACGTGTACCAGGAGGTTGTGAGACAGATCCAAAGCCTCCAACTTCCTGGGAGAGAAAAAGACACACAGACCCTCTCAGGAGCTCCTGTTAGACTCACTTCCACAGAAGAATCCAAAGGGAGAGAAGCGGCCTGCTTGCAGCTCTCCACTCATTTTTGCATCTCCTCCAGGCCTCTCCCACTGCCAACCCAACATTGCTTTTTTAAAACACACACTGAAACAAGGACTGTGCTGTAGGAAAGGTGTTTCTCCTTTAAAACAAGGCACATGCCCCTCACAACTTGATTTTTTTTACCAAAAGTACATATCTGATTGTGAGGGAGGGAACCGAGAAGGTGCCGTTTTAGTGACCTTAATTCTGAAACCCAAATCCCATTTTTTGCAGAAGTATCAAAAGCTCAGGAGATCCTGTCTCCTCTGCTTTTGATTTATCTGAGGGGTAGTGGTGGAATGAGGGGGTTTGTTTCACATAATGTCATTTTCAACCTCATTCTTTTATGGACCTCTGCCACTATCACTTGCAAGGCAGTGCTCTATAATGGTTAGAGCACGCCGTGCTTTTACTAGAGGCACTTCTCTCTCTGACGGTGTTCTGAGGTCTTTAACAGCAGTGGAGCAGGCAAGAATTCATCACAGAACATGACTTTTGCCTGACATTGCTTCTACATTTGAGAAAAAGAAAGTTCACTTCTCAATTTCTGCTTCCTGTCACTTCCCTCTTAAAAGGCATAACAGCACATCCAAGCTGGAGAGCAGGGTAGCTGTCAAATGCTAGCTAGGAGACCTCAATCTTTGATTCCACCCACACACACACACACACACCAGTGTTGAAGATGCTAGGATTACTCACGGGTGGTCTATCCAAGCAGGGTAGCTGTCAAATGCTAGCTAGGAGGCCTCAATCTTTGATTCCACCCACCCACATACACCAGTGTTGAAGACGCTAGGATTACTCACGGGTGGTCTATCCAGGCACGTGGAGCAATACGATCTTCCTGCAGTTTGTTGTTGCTTAGTACCAGCACTGTGAGGTTCACTGTTTTGTTCAGGACACTCTCAGCTACTTCCTCAATGTGGTTGGAATCGAGGTGCAGCTCCTGGAAAAGTGGGAGTGGACTGTATGTGTTAGATTTGCCTTTTAAATAAGGTTTCTCAAGACCCCTCCCTCCCCTCCTCCCCAGTTGATTGCCCCACCACCACCAGCTACTCCTTCCCTAAACCTCTGCCTTGGTCCCAGTTCTGCTCAATCCTCTCAGCCAGGATAGTTTTGGAATATATGCAGCACACTGGTCCAGCACTCCTTCCCCTCCCACCCCACCCACCCGTGTGAAATGAGCTGGGAGCCAGAGCAGTTCTTAGAAGGAGTTGAAGGTGTTATATAAGGCTAGAACTTGGAAGAATCTAAGAAGCACCCTTCGGCAGGAGAGCAAAGGCCTCTCTAGTCCAGCATCCTGTTTCCCAGGGTGGGCACAGCAGAAGCCTCTGGGAAGCCCCAAAGGAGGGCATGAGGGCAACAGCCCTCTGTTGTTCTCACTTATGAGGAGGTCACAAAGAGGGACTACACCGTTAAAAAAAAGAGAGAGGACAGTCAGAGTTGCATATTTCATGTGCTACTTTATAGGTGCAAATTTAGAAATAATTATTGGTTAGAATCCTGTGAGTCGTACCGACAAGTCTCCTGCTGCTGGTTTCACTGTTAGCGGCAAGTTTGCTGCAAGTTGAGAAATTGGCGAAGCATATTTCCTATTGTACACCAGTTGTTGAGTCCTAGTTTGCAGAAAGAAATGCCTACGCTAACTTCTGAACTTGTGGCAATTCACTTCTAAAAGTGAGCCACGGATGCATCACAGATGGAATCACAGAATACCATTATGGCCATCATGATTGATATAGAAGTAAGTTGCATTTCAGCACAGTGGGAAACTCCTCAGTCTTTTGTCCAGATGCTAAACACTGATGAGCAATTTCAAGATCCCTTCCTGTTCTCCCTTGTTATAATTCTTTATCTTTAAACCAAAGTTGGGCTGGGCAGCTTTTCAAGTATTTGTATTTGCAAATAAGGACACATGGCCGTTGCAGCTGCTCTCCAGCAACTGCAGCATGATATCTCCAACTGTGGAAGCACTAGATAGCCATTGTGACTAGTATCCATGGATAACCATATTATCCACTTGAATCAATCTTCCTGCACAACCTCCACAATTTATATACAAGATCTATCAAAATATGCCTCCAACCCAGTCTGTGCCTGACCGGCTCTGTGCTCTTTTGAAGATATTCTGCTCTGATCTTTGTCTATTTCCATGCTAGTATTCATGAGGTTCTGAATCTCCAATCTTGCAAATGGGGATGCACAAATAGCAATGGCTTGCAATGTGTGGGGATATGGGGTTGTTACATAATGCCATCAGAATTATTTCTAGAAGAATTATTTGCCCACCTCTACCTTCAAGAACACTCTGAAGAGAAACAGGAGAGAGTTACACTGAACTTTGGCAACAACATCAGTCCAAAAACAAACAAACAAACAAACAAAAACAAAAAAAACTAACCACAGTGGAGAGCTAAGGAATGAAAGATGCCCATGTCCTGACAAACAAACAAACAAACAAACAAAGGAATGAAAGACACCCATGTCCTAAGATGAAGTTCAGACCTAACACAAGAATGCCAGCATGCATTTCGTGCAAGACAGGTACATTTCCCTGTAACCAACAACATTTTCAAACAGAAGGAAAAAGCAAACCCCAGCCCATATGTCATGCTGGTGGAAGTCTCTCACGTTGTGCTATAGCTTTTTTTTTTTAAGTGAAGATCAGCTGATACTACCTAGTAACAGGGATTTCTATCTTGCAGCCTCTTAATCCTCACAACAGTTCTCTATACAATATCTTTTTACCCCAAAGAAATCTCACAGGCAAACTCGCGGGATTTCTCCAACGTTTATTATTGCCATTCCTGCACAGAATGACATCTTTCCTGTGCAGGGCTCATCGGAAAGGACATTAAGGATGCAGAACTGGGCAGTTTCTGGAGACTTGCTCTGTCCTGTGAGTGCCCCTGGACTCTTTGCTCTGCTACATGTTCGCCCTAATGTGCATCACTAACAATTGCCACAGCTGTGCTCACCCGCAAGGATGGAGGCAAACCGGAAGGGATGGCCCGGAAGCGGTTGTGGTCTAGTCGCAGGTAGGTAAGTCCACCTAGGGGTTTGAAAGTGGTAGGAAGCACATTCCCATCGTGCAGCTGGTTCCCCTCCAGCTCCAGGGTAAGTAACTTAAAAAGTCCTGCACAGAGAAGAGCAGAGAAGACAAATCCATTCATAAACACACATTTAGGACTGCGGTGCAACCACCACTTTGATGGAGGAGGTGAAAAACGGGGGCCCAAATGTATAATTACTTGGACCAGAGGACTTGCCAACGTCCCTGCAAATAATGAATTGAACTCCCAACCTTCGGCTCTGCAGACAGATGTCTAAAAAAACCACTGAGCTATCCAGCAGTTCAATTAGGTTATTTGTATTCATGGGAATGAAGTGGCTAAGGGTTGTGGGGCTTTGCTTGTTTGCACACTACCCAGAGTAGTGTGAATTCACTAACTGAATGGTATAGAAATTAAATAAATAAATGCAATGCAAAGCAAAGAAACAAAGTGTGCAGATTACATACCTTCCCACAGTGCTTAAAGCACTCGCTGGGTGATTTACAATTATACAGGCTACACAGCGCCTCCCCCCACTCCCTCCCCACAAGCTGGGTACTAAATTTAGTGACTTTGGAAGTACAGAAGGCTGAGTCAACCTTGAGCTGGCTACCTGAGCGGTCAGAATCGAACTAAGGCTAATGAGCAGAGTCTTGACTGCAGTACCACAGTTTAGCCACTGTGCCATGAGGCTCCTCAATCAATTAATCAATAAATTATATATCGTATTTGGCCTTTCTCTTTTCCTTCAACCTTTCCCAGCATCATTATTGTTTCCAAAGACTCCTGCCTTTTCATGATGTGTCCAAAGTAGGACAGTCTAGTTTCATCATTTTTGCCTTCAGAGATAGTTTGATTAGATCTAGGACCCATTTGTTCTTCTCTCTTGCAGTCCAGGCTGTCTGCAATGCTCTCCTCCAGAACCATATTTCAAATGATTCCCACCTCGTCTCCTTAACATCATCAGATCCTTCCATGAGGGAATGAAAGGCACTGTAGTTTTTGACGGCTCAACATCAGATCCCTTTGACATCCGAAGTGGAGTGAAACAGGGCTGTGTCCTCGCACCAACCCTTTTTGGGATCTTTTTTGCTGTCATGCTGAGACATGCCTTTGGAACTGCAACAGAAGGTGTCTATCTCCGGACTAGATCAGACGGAAAGCTCTTTAATCTCTCCAGATTGAGAGCAAAGACCAAAGTCCAACTGAAATGCATGCGGGACTTCCTCTT